TTTCACTTCCAAGCTCTCGCTGCTTCCCAGCCGCCACAGGTTGTGCGTGCCTGGAACACGCATCAACAAATAGTAACCACGGCCTCCAGGCAGGAGGGCCTTGAGTCCCGTGGCTCCTGGGCCCACATCATCCCGGTCAGGGTCCATCTATTCCGGGGACCTCTTTGTGGATTCGAAGTTGCCATGGCACTGGGGATAGAAATCCAGACTGAGACCAAAGCACCTATTCCTGGAGTGCTCTGTTCCAGCAATGCTGTCAGGGGAAAGGGCAGCCTTGGTCTTCAGTAAATTAGAGGAATTTCACGTCTCGATTCAACGAGTGGGTACTTTCAGCCGCCTTTTCAGAAGCACAATTTCCCCTTCTAATGATGTCTGTGTGTCCACCTGCGCCATGCCATGGGCTCAGCAGACACTGACTCCACTCCGGACTCCCAACAGGTCAAAGCCGACGAAAGTAGCCCCCCTCCCCTTGCCTGGTGTTAGTCCAGGAGGGGGCCAGTAGCACGGGAGGTGGTCCAGCACAGCCTGGGGCAGCAGGCTCTCATTGCTGGAGACAGATAAGAGGTGCTGTTGCTTGCTGTGGGCTGTGTCCTGCCACCCTAGGGAGGTCCCACTGAAGACTGTGCCATGCTGCTGGCATCACAGTGGAGACAAAGAAAGAATCAGGGCTCTCTAGGAGCCCAAAGCGCACCCCACCTCTGGACTTCCCCTTCCACACCCAACACGTGTCTTTAGTGTTGAACAAGCTCAAGCCGGTTTAGCTCCAGCTTCCTGTTACCTGGAGCATGAGGCACCCACCTCCATGTTCTGACCTGGCCTCCTCTTTGGTCTGCTGGGCCCACCTGTCCTCCAAATGATAATAAAGCACTGTTTTTTTCTAGATCTCACAGATTTGATCTTTCACAGCCATACTTTGGAAAAATCTGCCATTTTTCTATTCCAGCCCGTCCTGGGGTGGGGGTAGAACCCAGGGAATGTGGCTGTGGAATCCGCACCCGGAACCATGACATCATGCTGCCAGAACTAAGAGGCAGTTTGAACCACTGCGGCCACCTCCTCCCTTTCCAAACCCTGATCCACACTGCTTGGGAGGGACCTTCAAAGCATAAGCCCAGCCGCCCCCAGTTCCCCCATCCTCTGTCACCCGCAGGTGCCTTCTAGTTCCTCTCCTCCCCGGGCTGCTTGCGGCCCCTTGGAGGGTGCAGGCAGCATCTTATTTGTTGCTGTGTCTCCCAGGTTGTGGTTTGGCATCAAGAAGGCATGGAAGAAATATTTATTCAAACCGAATGACTGGATGACAAGGCAGAAAGGGGCTCAGAGACTGCAGCACACAGATGATGAATTACATGCATGAAAAGAGGGAGGCCGCAGAACGCGGTGTGGGCTGTGGAGCCGCCTGCCTGGGTCTGGATGCTGCCACTTACCGGCCATGTAACCTTGAGAAAGCCCCAGAACTGTGATTCCGCTTGTTCATCTGCAAAATGGGAGCATCAGAACCCACCTCTCAGAGCTGAGAGGAGAACTAATTAGCTGATCCACAAGAGAACACTTAGAACAACGCCAGGCCCAGAGGACACACTGAGCACATGTGAGCTTCAGGTCAGAGGAAGGCGGGTGGGAGAGGGGCAGAGAGAGAGAGAGAAAGACAGGAAGAAAGAGGGAGAGAGAGGCAGGAAAAGAGGATATGGATTCCTCATGGTTTTTGTTCTTTCTCTAAAGTTATGGCTTTTAAGATATCATTGGTAAACACTTAAATATGTCCTGAGGTCTTTCTCTACTAAGAAATGCTCTGGCCTCTTGAAACAGAAGGTTTTGAAACACCAAAACACAAAAGTTGATGGAAGGTGTTATTCTTTGACAAAGGTAACCACAGTTCGCGTGTAATACAATTTCAATCCTTCAGGGAAGGGTCCAGGCTGGAGGAACCCGTGGCCTGCCTGCTTTTTCCTTGCTGGCTTAGGCATTGCTCCGTGGGGTGCAAGCTGAAAAGAAGTGTATTGACTGAAGACCTTTTGATGAACTCACAGACATTCTGCAATCCACAGCAAAGCCAGATCGCCGCAGAATCGATCCCCAACCCCGGGAGCCGAAGAGACGCCGGAGGGAGCTTGTTTTATTATGTGTTTTTAATTATTGTTTAACTCAGAGAGGCAACCAGATTACTATAAACATTTTCTCAAAGAAAAGACAAAATCTAATCAACGCAAATAACCCGACAATTCTATAGGGAGCAGCCTGGGAAAGGCCCCTCTGCCTGACCGTCGACACCCGCGTTAGAGCACTGGGCAGAGGCGGGCGGAACACTTCAGGTTTGGATATTGTCAAGCTGCAGCCATTTACACCACACAGGATTAATTCCTTTCTGGACCACACAGACATCATTGATTTTGCAAAGGCAGAAAAGCAAAACCTCAGCAAAACAAAGAACTCCATCCCTTTAATGTCTTCTCGTTCAACATCATGGATTTTACCCACACCACAAACAGAGGAAAAGGCAATCTTTCATCCAAAGTACCGAGGAATGCCAGCTACTAGGGAGAAGAAACCCTCCTCACGGGACACGCGGTTAGCCTTCCAGAACGCAGTGGCCCGGCGTCAGCAGCTCCTGCTGCACCTGTCAACCGCGACAGTCCCCAGGCAGCAGCGACCCACCGCAGGCAGAGAAACGTCAGGGAGCCACCCACACGGCCGTCTGTGCAGACACTCAGAACACAGCCTGGATAGCCTCAGGGGGTGCTCAACACCACCAGCCAGTAAAACAAACCCATACTTCAACTATGTCATCAACCCTTTCGCTTAACAAAATTTCATATAACCCGTCCTGTACAAGACACAGTGCTAGTGTCCTGGGAAAAACAGCTCCCCCACTTCAAAGAGTTTATGGCCACACATTCAAAGCAATAAGGCAAGTATAAATAATACATGTGAGATGTTGAGTAGGACAAGAAATTCAGAAATGCCAAGAAATTTAGAAATTCAAAAGGACACGAGGAGGAGCAGACAAAACGCTGTGGGATTGGTCTATGCTGGAAGGCACATCCCACGGTCCAGCACACGGATGCGGCGGATCAGGAACACGGTTCTGCCTCCTGTAAAGCACGACATCCCCAAGCTTCAGGTCCTTCACCCACAGGGAGAGAAAAACAAGAGTCTAAACTATAAAGAACCCTGAGGCGGAATGCTGCCACATCCATAAAGTGTGTTAGCACATCCCCGGGCACAGCAAATGCTAATAAGTGCCCACTGCTGTCATGTTACTACTGTCCTACCTGCTGAGATCCAGGTATCCTCCTGAAGGAGGTGGTGTTGGATCTAGGCCACGTTGCTATTTTGTTACTACTGTCCTACCTGGCAATATCCAGATGTCCTCCTGAAGGAGGTGGCATTGGATCTAGGCCACGTTGCTATTTTGTTACTACTGTCCTACCTGGCAATATCCAGATGTCCTCCTGAAGGAGGTGGCATTGGATCTAGGCCACATTGCTGCCATATTACTAATGCCCTACCTGGTGACATCCAGGTGTCCTCCTTGAAGGAGGTGGCGTTGGATCTAGGCCTTGAAGGCCAAGTAGGCTTCATGACATGAGCAGTGGGAAGGGATGCCCAGGACACAGGAGCTTGGAGGTGAGACACATCCCACGTTCAGGGCAGGTGCTCTGTGTTCAAGTAACAGGAGCCGGGTTGCAAAGGTGAGGCGATCCCCATGCAGTTGAAACCAGAGAGTTCCCCTCACAGGATGTGCAACAGGGTCGTCACCTGCTTGGTCACCCCACAGCTCAAACCCTCAGGGGAGCAGGCAGACGGGCAGGTGCTGAGGCTGGGACAAGCGCTTTTGGGCTCTGGCTCCACAGCAGCATCTAGAGGTGGATGTCTGCAACCCCCAAAGCCCAAATGGGTGTGTGTTACCAGACTCTTTTAGATTTGCCATCTGCAGATGGCTTGTGTGTTAATGAGCACAATGGACCCTCTGCCTTATTGCAAGGGCAGGGAGCTAGTATGACAGCATTCTGTATCCCGAGTTCTTGCCCAGTGTACCAGAAGATTCAGATCCCATGTGGGCGTAAAGAGTGAGTGCAAGGTTGTATTGAGTGGAGGAGGTGGCTCTCAGCGAGATGCATGGGGAGCCCGAAGGAGGGGATGGAGGAGCAAGGTGGTCTTCACCTGGAATCGGGCCATCCATTGCTGGCCTTTTCTCTAGCCTCCCCTGGCTGAACTCCCCTCGGCCTCCAGATGTCCCTCCGCTTCTCTCTTTGTCTGCCTCGTTGTTCTGCCGTCACTGGTCTGCCGGTTCTGCTGGTCCTGACGTTCAGCCACTTGCATGTGTGCCCTCGGGTTTATATGGGGACAGGATGGGGGCATAGTGGGCCAAAAGGCAACTTTTTAGTGAAAAACAGAAACGCCTGTCCTCATTTAGGTCCTCAGGTCTTCAGGCTTGAGGGTAGGGCCTTTGCCAGGGAACCTCAGTCTTCTACCCAGCACCTCCCAGTTTCCTGTCCATATCACAGTGAGGGGCCAACGCTTCACACAACCCAAATGAAGAATTGTGTGTCTTCTCCGTTCTGGAGGGCATGGAGGGCACTCAGGGACAGGGCCATCTCCTAAGTGAGCAGACTTCCCCTGTAAGAACTGTGGATTTGGAGGACCCTGTTAGGACCTGGAGTGGGAGCAGAGAGATGGGGTGGTCTGGGGACACATTCAAGAGCTCACCTGGGGAACCCTAAAGGTGACTCAGGTCAGCCTCTGCCTGCAGGTCTCACAGTGCGGTCAGGAAGGAGCGACCTGAATGAAACCCTGCTGCTGACCACACCAGGCCGTGGGCGCCGGAACCATCCCAGACCAGCGCACGGAACATCGGCACGGTGGGGCTCTGTGCTGCAGCAGAATCAGCCAGAGGGCTCCGAGGCCCACCCCAGCAGAAACAGCCCCACGGCACGCCCCAGAGAGATGACGAGGGGCTTTTTATGGTTGTTCTTGTTATTCTTTTCTTCTCTTTTTTTTAACATCAGACAGGTAATGTGATTCGTAACAAGGCTTGAGAGAGGCACATCTCACACACGAGCATGAAAACCCAATCATCACGCTTATGAACCACAAAAGGATCTTAACCTACTTACCTAAGGGAGACCCCCACTCACTACAGATTTGGAGCCAAACTGAACTCAAGTGCCAGAGCCGCTCCTCCCCAGCTGCGAGACTTGGCTCCAGTCGTGTATACCCTGGGTCTCAGATTTGGGGAACAGTGCATCCCCTCTCTCATCTGATAAATGAGGACAGTGAGGCAGAACCTGGACTAGAAACCCGATGTTCTGACCTGGGATCTTCAAGATTAAAATAACTCATCTCCTCTTTCACTCCAGAGAAGGTGCAAACCTAGATACGTGGGCTCAGGTCAGGGCAAAGCTTGTCACCGCCCTTGGACAGAGAGAATGGGGAGGCCACGATGGGTGGAATGGGCGGGGCCCAGTGGAAGCCAGGCAGCTTCCCCGCCTCTGACCCAGTGTTCATGGTTGCCGTTTCTTCCGGAAAAGTGAATTTCAAGAACGAGCAGCACGTTCCTCCTGAACCAGGAAGACACATGCCTGGCAGCATTAAACCACGGTGGGTTTTAGATTTTCCCATCATGGGATCCCCCACTGTCCTGCCCCTTTCCATTACGGAGCATAATCAGGAGGGTCCCCCATTTTAGCGCAGATAATCACAAAGTCACAGATAATTGACAAATCAAGTACTATGCAAATCAAGTGCTAATTCCAAGCAATTAAAAACTGAGTCACAGCTAAACTGCAGTTAATATGAAAATTTATTTTTTCATATAATGCAAAACACATTGAGCAGAGACAAGACACAACGACCAAAGAAATTATACACGTTACTCTGAACAGGCAGAAAAGTGGGTGTGGCTACACACACCTTTCAATCAATACTTGGCAACCAGGAAATGAAGTTGTTGCATGTCCTGTCTCCTGCCAAATGGTGGAGGGACAGTGGAGGAGAGGCAGGCAATGTGCTCCCATGCCCCTCTGGAGGGCTCTGCAAGACTTAAAGCATCAGGTTAAAGGCAGACAGCACGGTCCCCTGCAGGCAAAAAGGCAACACCAGAATGGAGAAAGGGGCTTTCCCCAAATCCTGGTATCAAGACAATCGGCCAGTCTGCTCTGCCAGGAACTGAGACCCTCGAGGGAAGAAGGAATCCTCCTTCCTGCAGCTTCAATGACCCAGCAACAAAGAACATAAGCCCTATTAGATGTGCTTCTCAGCCTGCCCAGAAAGACAATAGATGGCAGGGACAGCAAGGAAGGAGGCTGACCCGCACACCCTTGCCCAGACAATACCCAGGCGCGCCTCCAGCTGCCAGCACCGGGGTCCGAGTGCTGCCAACGGCCAAAGGAGACAGACGCAGGGACCCCGCGAGCATCCAGGCGGGAGCTCCTTCCTTCTGCCTGGGCTACTTTTCAAACCCCTGTGCTTTTTATGGCTCCTTTTCACTGCGGGTGGAATGAGCCACGGAGGTCAACGCCACACGCGCACACACAAAAGCTTCAGAGCGGACAAAGAGACTTCAATGTCATTCTCTACACAGGAACAGAAAGACACATGGCCCTTCTGTGACAGGCCGCGGGCAACTGGAGCTCAAGATTCAGCGGCAGAGGAGAGGCTATCACTGAAGAATAAATCTGAGGGAGCTGCAGAGTAATCACTTTGGATTAAGGCCACTTTTCCAGGGCCAGGAGGAACAAAGGCTAGTTCCCAAACCCTGTAGAATGAATATCCGTTGTTTTTCACGACGAGAGAGGCCTCTCGGAGGGAGGAAGCAGGCTGTGTGCACGTGGTCACCAGGGAGCAGGGCTGGCTGTCCCCACCATCCCCGTGACCCCCCTGCTGTCTACTCAGGCATGGGCCCCCCAGGTCCCTGCACACAGGCGCCTGCCCTCACTGGCAATGGCAGGCCAGGCTCCCTGAGCGCCTCGCAGCGACGCACTCGCCCAGAGCCATGAGGCAAGAGGAAGAGGAAAACCAGCCAGGAAGTGTCCCCTCCACCTGCTTTTACTGCTCTCTGGGGCGAGCAACCCCCAGCCTGGAGTGTTTTCTTCATGTTTTGTTTTCTGTAAAATCACCATGGACTTATTTTCAAATAAGAGATTGTTTCAGCTCGGGGCACAAGCCGCTGTCTCCAATGGGGACTGAGGGAAGACTCGCCCAGGCAGGACTGAACCCCCTCCTGTATCTGGGAATCCCATGTCTGGAGAGGGAGAGTATGGCCACAGCCTCAGGCCTGCCCACGAATCCCTTGTTACCTGGTCACCATCAGAACAAATCCCCACCTTCTGCGGGCTGTAGTCACACCCCGAAACCTCCTTCATTGGATCCCCCAAATTAGAATAAGCCCCTCCCTCCAAAGTCATTGTAAGGGAGCCCTGAGTTTGATCGTTTGGGGAGAACCAGACCTTTCCGAGGGCAGTGGAAGGGCGCCCAGGGCTCAGTGTTTGCAATTCTTTGCACTGAACACCAAGAAAATAGCGACTTTTCACTTTTCACAGCAGGCAGTTTTGAGATAATAGAAACGTAGTCCTTTCAGGACCAAAACCTTTCTATAGAACCACATTTCTGGAAACGTTTTTGCATTAGATACGTGTTCTCTGCCTTCTTAAACGGAGTGGAAATGCAGCCTCGTCCTCTCCAGCTGTTTCCAGTGATCACAATGAGTGGAGTCTGGCCTGATTCCCTCTCTTTGGGGGCCTGGTTTTTCTCACTTGTGAATGGAGAAAGTGATCCCACCTTTTACCATCAGAAACTAAACGGCGAGAGGGTGCACGTTAAGTCACCACGTGTGTCTGCCTGTGCTAAACAAACTCCGGGTCCCCATCTCCTCCTCCAGGCCTTTCTGCGCCCTAGACACCACCTCCCACACCTGGGGAGGGAGAAGCTGCAAATAAGGCTGTGGGCTCTTCTCCTCCAGGTTAAATGTTATCAGACTGATGTGGTTTTGGTAGTTCTTCCAAATGGTGCCTCTATGTCGGGGTGTCTGAAATTCCTTCTTCCTTCCATAAACATCCCTGCTTTGGAACCAGTGCGTTCTTTTTGTAGCTTTCTGTATTGCACTTGGACCTCCTACCACGCCAATCCCACTAACAAGGCCTTAGTGTGTGCTCAAGTCTCCTTTACAGGCCGCTAGATGGCCAGAATTCTTTAACCAGAGCCATAACATCAGATGGCTCTCAGCACTCTGGACTGTGAAATTCAAGAGGAACGACTCAATCTATATCTCATTTGGCTTGTAGGTCTCCAAGGACTCACTGGAACTACAATTATACCTGGGAGGCAGGGCACTCGGGGAAGCAAAAAGCGAAGTCTGAATATTTCATCTCACCTCCATCGGATGTCCCTGGACATTTCTGCTTAGTCCGGATTTGGGACGAACGCTCTCCTCGTAGGTATTTATCTCGCTCTCATCCTTTCCATTCATAAAATCTACATATCTAATCAATGACAATTATTCATCAAATACAGTGTGTTCCACAGGGGACCAAGTTTTAACCCTTGGCATAGGGAATTACAGGTGAGATGTAGAAAAAGAAATAGAAATGATGACCCCCCGAGAATAGGGGATGGGGGCTTGAATAAAAGGAGCTATACTTTTTACTCTTCAAATATCAGATTAATTTTTTTAACTTTGAGCATGTTTTACTTTTTATTAAAAATAAATACATTCCTATGCCCCAGAATCCAAACATACATTGTTAGTTGTTGTCCTGTGTAGGTGCTCAGATGTGTTCCCCCAAAATATACACAAAAAAGAAAGATGTGTATTGCAACATTTTTTGAAATAGCAAAAACCGAAACAAGCAAAGTGTTCATGCAAAGAGGACAGGGGAAATAAATCAGGTCCCCAAAGATGATGAAATTCTACTTCACTAGGAGTAAAAAGGGGTGGAGTCAGTGTGGAAGCCAATGACGGTGAAGCTCTGCAGTCATGAGAAGTAGAAGGTGGGGTCAGTGTGGAAACCAGTGATGGTGAAACGCTACAGTCATGAGAAGTAGAAGGTGGGGTCAGTGTGGAAACCAGTGATGGTGAAACGCTACAGTCATTAGAAGTAGAAGGTGGGGTCAGTGTGGAAACCAGTGATGGTGAAACGCTACAGTCATTAGAAGTAGAAGGTGGGGTCAGTGTGGAAACCAGTGATGGTGAAACGCTACAGTCATTAGAAGTAGAAGGTGGGGTCAGTGTGGAAACCAGTGATGGTGAAACGCTACAGTCATTAGAAGTAGAAGGTGGGGTCAGTGTGGAAACCAGTGATGGTGAAACGCTACAGTCATTAGAAGTAAATGAGGTGGGGTCAGTGTGGAAACCAGTGATGGTGAAACGCTACAGTCATTAGAAGTAGAAGGTGGGGTCAGTGTGGAAACCAGTGATGGTGAAACGCTACAGTCATTAGAAGTAGAAGGTGGGGTCAGTGTGGAAACCAGTGATGGTGAAACGCTACAGTCATTAGAAGTGAAAGGGGTCGGGAGTCAGTGTAGAAACTGATGATGGTGAAACGCAACAGTCATTAGAAGTGAAAGGGGTGGCAGGTCAGTGTGGAAACTGATGATGGTGAAACACTACAGTCATTAGAAGTAAATGGGCTGGGGGGTCAGTGTGGAAACCAATGTTAGTGAAACACCACAGTCATTAGAAGTAAAAGGGGGGGGTCGGTGTGGAAACTAATGATGGTGAAATGCTACAGTCATTAGAAGTAGATAGGGTGGGGGGTCAGTGTGGAAACCAATGTTAATGAAACACCACAGTCATTAGAAGTAAAAGGGGTGGGGTCAGTGTGGAAACCAATGATGGTGAAACGCTACAGTCATTAGAAGTAAAAGGGGAGGGTCAGTGTGGAAACCAATCATGGTGAAATGCTATGGTCATTAGAAGTAAAAGGAGGGGGTCAGTGTGGAAACTAATGATGGTGAAACACTACAGTCATTAGAAGTAAAAGGGGTGGAGTCAGTGTGGAAACTAATGATAGTGAAACACTACAGTCATTAGAAGTAAATGAGGTGGGGTCAGTGTGAAAACCGATGATGGTGAAACACTACAGTTATTAGAAATAAAAGGGCAG